CCAGCCCCCACTCCCCTCCCAGAGCCGGGGAGAGAACCCAGGAGTCCGGTACCTGGGCCATGGGCGGGCGCCGTTTGCTCCGTTTGTGGAGGCAGCGGGTCGCCAGGCAGCCCAGCGCCGTGCCCAGCTCCTCCGGACAGGGCCCGACCCGCGAGTCCACGTGGTTCTGGAAGATCCTGGTGCCGACCCGAGTCGCCCGAGCATCCTGGTCCGGGCCAGAGCCCGTCGCCGCCCGCTGCGCTCGCCCGGGACCCTCGCCGCCCTCAGCCGCCTCCTCCTCCTCCGCGACCAGATCCTTCTGCGGGGACGGGGGAGTGAGGGGCACCGTCCGGGCTGGGGGGCAGGGGCTGCGAGTCGGGAGTCAGGGGCACCCGCAGAGCTGGGGGGGGGGGGTCAGCGTCTCACCAGGAACTTTGTCCGTCCATGTCCATCTGTCTCCAGGGCCCGTCTCCCCGTCAGTGTTTCCAGCAGCACCTGGGGGGCCGAGGGGGTCACTGAAGGCTCCGGGATGGGAGGTTTGGGGGCGGGGGTGTGGGAAGATCCCCCCATGACCCCTCCCCCATCCCTTCTTTGTGCCCCAGGCCGGTTAGTCTGAGCTCTTAGGGGGAGGGGTCCAGGAGCTCCTGCTCTGTTTCCTCCCCTCAAGGATATGTCACCCCCGCCCCCACTGAGAAAAATAGGGGATCTGATCCCCTGAGGTTTTGGGGGTTATAGTGGAGGGGGCTCGGGGGGTGTCTGAGGGCAGGCGGGGCAGCAGAGGGACCGAGGAACATGCGGGGAGTGTGCAGGGGGCAGTGGAGGGGGCAGCAGGCCAAGGGGGGCAGGGGGGCAGCGGAGGGGCAGGGGGGTCACGCGGGGGTCTGGTACTCACCACCCCGTAGCTGTAGGTGTCGATGGAGGGGGACAGGGCCCCGCTCTGCACGTACTCGGGGGGCAGGTAGGCCAGGGTGCCCCGCACCGTGTGGGTCCGGCCCAGGCTGGCGCTGAGCCCCCCACTCCCCGCCCGGCCCCGCCCGGCCCGCGCCAGCCCGAAGTCGCTCAGCCGGGGGCGCAGCGCCCTGTCCAGCAGGATGTTAGAGCTGGGGGGGG